TGGAAGTAAGGTGGCGATTTAAGTAATGACATGACGAGTAACCAGCTCGTAAGATGGTTCTGTATTGCGTTAACGTCATCGTCACGGTTGATTGAAAATCACTCCAGACCCTCTCTGACAACGGGTAAAATGTTTTATGGGGGAATATTTACAAGAGACTGCTTAGTAAACCATTGTTGCCTTTTTCATTAATTAGGCAATTCGAAAACAAGACCCCATTGAACTTCCGTAAACTGTGCCAAGATTGCAATAGATTCATCAAGTCTCTTAATATTGAAAAACGCTGTGCATACCTCATATGCATCAAATAATGCAATAAGATTTGTTGACAAACTCGTCGTTATCAAATTGCACGTGTTTTGGTCTTTTTAGAGTTTTCCCTACGTGACGTCATAAAATTTACGGTTGAGTAATTCTGAATACTGATTTTGATGCACAGTAAGTAAATTTCCCTTCTGACTAATTTTCGTAATTTTCGGTCATGTGGTAAAGTTTTTATCGAGAATTATGCTACCCTGCGTGTCTTTTTCCTTTCAGTATAATATTTTAGTCATTGGTGAAAACGTAACCGATCTCGTAAAGTAAATAGTGAGCAGTTTACCAAGTTTATTTATTGCAAACTTTGGGTGTATACTTTTTTTTATTTCAGCATTGAACTATTATTTTTTTTTTATTCCCCAATGTTAGATGTATTCTTTTATCAACCCGTATATTTGGTTTGATCCGCCTCCTCTATAGACTTCTCTTGTGACACCCCTAAAGTTTTGTCAAATAAAAAGAAAACGATTTAGAGTGTAATGAACAATTAAAAAGGGTCAGGTGGTAAATAAATATACAGGTTGTTGAAGAGTATGTTTCATATAAGGAAAGGTTGGGTGTTTTATTTACCAATGCATGAAAGTAGAGAAATATATCCCTTAAAGTGCAAAAAAAAATATGCTCTGTAAACTGAACATTTGCATTTCGAGATTTAAAGCTCTTTAGGTTAAAAGACTAAAATATATAGCAATTTTACGTTTCTAAAGCTGAGCGCGAACTTTGATTTTCTCTTATGACGTTGCTCTGTGACGACCTTCAATGTTAACGACATCAAAATAAATCATAAAATACTTTGTTTTCCAATTCATCGATCTGGCATTGTCATGCAGCATTTTCCACAGAATTTATAAGTAAAAAATATGTGTGAGTGAGGAAAAATATTTATATATGAAAAAAAAATCTACGTAATTTAACTTCACACATGAATGGAGATGTTCGACTGATAGAGGTATATACTACATCTTCCCAGTTATCTGACCTTTCACGGTTTGAGTCAAAATTCATATAATTTTAAAAAATATTTTTTTTATTTATATACTTTATTATATAATATGATTATATACAAGAAGACAAAAATATAAAAACAAAAAAATATATAATATAGAAAGATTTTATGCAATTTCTTGCTTTTATGAAGTAAGGTTACACATATAACACTATTTTTCAACATAACAAGAGGCCCATGGGCCTTATAGGTTATCTGAGTATCATGCAACGACTTTCAAATGATTGAATTAGGTTTATGTTTTAAGCTAGATGCCATGGAATTCACAATTTTGAAAGAGGCACCATTGCTAATCATAATTATTCACTTAGCATTTGTTTAGTTTGTTTACTTAAAATGGATAAGCAGGGTAGGGGAACAAAAAAGTATGTCAACTAATCAGTAATATTCAGCAATAATCAGGAGTGCTTCTTCCACACATGAACCCCTGACCCTAGGTCTACACATTGAACAATTTTTGAAAAGGCACACTTACTCATCAAAAATGTTTGATTAATGCCAAGGAGCAGATTTCAAACAATCCATTTTCAGTATACAAGTAGAGCCTTCCGCCCCTCCCCATTTAAGTATCCCTGACCCAGGGGCCTTGAAATTCACAATTCTGGAAGGAGAGCCAATCCCATCAAAACTATGTAAATAGTTCATTCTGCTTATTACCCAGGAGTAGAGAAAAAAATTTTCATGGATGTAATGTATTTTCACCATATAATCATTATAGAGCCACATCCTAATCCTGGGGCCATACAATTCATAATTTTGATAGAAGCATTCTTGCTTATCATAACTATGTCCTTAATTAGTTTATTAAATACTCAGGAACAGAGCAAAAGATTTAATGCATTTTCTCTATATAATCAATAGAGCCCCGCCCTAACACCAGAACCCCTGACTCTGGGGCCATTTATTTCAAATTTTTTGTAGAGGCACTCTTGCTCATCATAACTATATACTTAGTTAGCTTATTTAATCCCTAGTAGATGAGAAGAAGATTTTCAAAGATTTAATGCATTTTCAATATACATGTAAAATCAATAGAGCCCCGCCCTAACACCATAACCCTTGACCCTGGGGCCATAAATTCAAAATTTTTGTAGAGGCACTCTTGCTCATCATAACTGTGAACTTAATTAGTTTATTTCATACTCAGAAACAGAGAAGAAGATTTTCAAAGAAATAATGCATTTTCACTAAATAATCAATAAAGCTCCGCCCTAACACCAGAACCCCTGACCCTGGGGCCATGAATTTCACAATTTTGGTAGAGGACTCAATGCTGATTACAATCATACCAACAGTTTGACTGCTTGATGTCCAGGACGAAAGAAGAAGATTTTTAAAGATTGCACTAATTTTAGTGGTTTTTGTCCCACCCCTCAGGCCCCAGGGGGGCAGGGACCCCTTCACCCAAAGATGCTGTACACCAAATTTGGTTGAAATTGGTTCAGTGGTTTCAGAGAAGAAGATGAAAATGTTTAAATGTTAACGCACGACGCACGATGGACGACAGACGATGGACGACGACGGACAAAAATAGATAGCAATCGGTCACCTGAGTTTACTCAGGTGACCTAAAAATATTAGGACTTTTTAATAAATTCATTACACAAAATGTTATATTTATACATATGTTACTTTAATATGTTTTACCGTGTGACCGTTTGGGGCGAGCGCAGTTGTGACCATCAAACATACTTGAATAGTTGAAAACTTAAAAAGCTACATTAAACATCAAGTCGCACGAGACATCTTGACTAGCTTTCACGTCACGCAACGTCACGGAGCTCGTCGGAGCTTACAGATACAGCCGAGCGTCTGGTTGAAACTACAGATCTAGTGAACTTTTGGTCGAAAACATTGCAGAGTCATTGATTGTATCTTTGAAATATTTATACAAACTGAGAGCCGTTGATGCTTTACGTTATTATTTATTTATTTGTGCAAAGGACATTGGATAGTAAAGGAATTCTGGGAATGTTTCACAACAAAATTTGCTTGACGTATGTACAATTACGAATTTCCTCTGTTCTTACACGTTAGTCTATTGCCCTCGCTAAATAAAAAAAAACATCGATACCACCATTCTGTCAAGAATAAAGTCATTATTATTTATAATTAAAGTATAAAACGTTGCGTGTACATGTGTGAACAAGTAGGAATATAGGATATAAGATTTTAAAAAGTCAGTGAGGTTTTATCATCATGAAGGTTTCTTTTATCTGTTTATTATCAGTCACTGTGTGATACCAGGGATGGCGCCAGTCTCCCGGGGACCATTGACCGTTAGGGAAGGCGAAGGAACAGTGATTAAACCACCAGCCTCCTCTACGGCTACTGGCAGCAGCACAGTTAGCATCACTACGTCTGTCATTGTCTCTGTCCGGGGTACTGAAGAACATCCCAGACAGATCGGTGTAAGAATTGGTAGTGTTATACATAGCGTCTCCTGCAGAATTATCAAATAAGATTATTACATGGACACTTATATCAAATTAGATCATAATTATTTACTTGAAATTTAAAGCTGAAGGAAAGCGTCTGAAGTATTTCAAATTAAAATGTTTTCGTATTGTAATTGAATGTTTACAATTACAATAAAAACATACATTTTTTATTTAATATTTTACTTTTTTGTTGATATTTTTTTGACTGCAAACGAACATGTTGATGAGTCTCAACAGAGATAAATTGATTGATTGATTGTATGTGTTTAGGGTTCCTCTGGAGAATATTTCACCATTCAAAATGGTGACGCTACGACATTCTGGTTTAGAGCTACAAGTGTTGCTCTAAAATGCATGCAATACAGGGTCATTGAGCAGTCAGTGATGTTTTTCGTGCCATCACTTTCAGTGACACGGGACCTCGGTTTATACGGTCTCATCCGAATGACCAGTCTGCACACCCTACATTAGGATTGGAACCCGAGACGTAAAGATCGATTACTTACTTCACGGCTCTAAACACCGCGCCATGCGGGGGACGTCAATTAATTGAATTATTATTTTAATCATGTAAAGCTTTTTTCTTAACATCGAAACGGGTAAGCCTATATACGTACATATAGAGAAGGGATATTCAAATTGTAATTCTATGAACCTATATACTGATACAATATTGAAAAATAACACTATTTTTAGAAGATAATCTCCTAAAGTTAACAGTACAGGAAACAATAGTTTTACCTCCATTTTTTCAACACATTAGCTATAAGGAATTCTTAAAATCTGTGCGACTACATGCAAATTATGTTATTAAATTCTTTTTTATTGTAGTATTGCTTTTGTCGATTATGTTTATCTTCAACAAAAAAGTGGGATAGTAACAAAAAGTCATTGTTATATACTATAATTAATTATATTTCCAATACAAGTTGTTTTTTTTTAATTCAATAATCATTTACATGTAACACCTTAATTGATTTCTCTGAATGAGTTATGTATCCGAGAACATTACTTACGAGTACACATACAATTTATTATTGATTACCTCATATAGTATAGACTCCTTATTATCAAAATACAAGGACACTTTACTTTCGAAATATTGATATCCACACATTACCCTCTCCCCTATTAATTACCTTAGAATAGTGTTGATTCTCAGAGAAAGATCTAGAGTTGGCATTTGTCTATCTGTCACAAGAAATTAAACTCTCTCTCTCTCCTTGTCGGTCGCCATTCGTACATTCTTTTTCCGTTTACCTACCCAGTGTCCCGGTCGCTGGTCCTCCAAGAAAAAGTCGGTAGTTGTTGGTTTCGTCAGCAACAGAGAACGTGTTGTATAATTCAAAGAGCTTTTTCCCACTGATCAGTGTGATAGATACGTAGAGGGAGGAGTTCCTTCTTTTAGTAAGTTGATGTATGACGTCATTTCCTTCAATATTTTATCGTCGTGTAATATATAAAGAATTTATAAAGTATAAAATATTCATTTCAAGTTGGCATATAATTCAACATATGATTATGAAGGTATGCAGAAATTTCTAATTGTGTAGTGCATGCAGCAATGAACATACATGTTTTGAAATCAAAGTAGGGAAATCGTTATATATTGTATTTTACATAAATTGTTATAACCTTCATTTTAACTGCTAAAAAATTAAATGCTAATTTAAACTGTTAATATTTAGAAAAACCATCGTCCCCTAAAACAACATAAAATATTACCCGGTTATAGAATTCGTACAATGTAAATAGCAAATTAATGGTTCCCCGAAGGAGGGGAATATTTCTTCACTTTGAACCCTGACCCTTTGGTCAGCCATAAATTTGCTATGTCCTCTGTAGTCATTCCATAACTGTATATAGTTTACCTATCCAGTAGGATCCGTTAGGATTCCCGAATCCCGTCTTGTAGTCCGTCCAGGTTTTGTCGAATGACACCACACCACTCACACGTTTCTGGATAGCCTAAGGATTTATGAATTATATTCCGACTTATTAAAGAAAATAGTATTTTTTTCATTTTTGCAATGTTTAACTGTGAACAATGTTTCAAATGAGTTATTCATTAAAACAATCATTCAAAACCTATTAATTTGTTTTTAATATAAACAATTTTTACGTAATGATTTTTTTTTAGTAAAAAAAAACTTCATTCTTATTAAAAAATATATTATTTTAAATTGATGATATTGCAAAAGTGTTACTTTACTTTGTAAATAAGTAATATTTACTGTCAGAATTTTATTGTCTTCATGTAAATTAGATTAGAAAAGAATTATTCAATGTTCATTGATCGTCATTTTTCGCTGATTTCAGCAAAGAGATTTAATATCAGTTTTAAAATCAAGGATTTATAAATCATTAAAGAAATATTAGCTTAAATTGATCGTTGGGCATTAGACAGAAAGAGAAAAAGGGAGATAGGGAGAGAGAATGAAAAAGAGGGGGAGAGAGAGGCAGGGAGAGGGGGGTAAGAGAAAGATAAGGAAAAAAGAGAAAGAGAGAAATTAAGAGAGAGAGAGAGGGGGGTGGAGGGAGGGAGAGAGACAAAGAGGGAAAGAGAAATCCACTCAAGAAAAAAAGCTAAAATTTGAGAGAGAGAGAGAGAGAGAGAGAGAGAGAGAGAGAGAGAGAGAGAGAGAGAGAGAAATCTTACTGTCCACTCAAGAAAAAAAGCTAAAATTTGAGAGAGATAGAGAGAGAGAGAGAGAAAGAGAGAGAGAGAGAGAGAGGGAGAGAGGTTTCTTACTGTCCACCTTCTGCCACCATGTCACAGAAAAAGGAGCAGAGAAACTTATAAAGAGAGAGAACAATACAGAGAGAAATAAAGAGAGAAAGAGAAAGGAGGGAGAGGAGAGAGAGAGATCTTACCGTCCACCCTCCACCTTCTGTCACCATATCACAGAAGATGCTGACCTTGCTTTCAATACCAGATGGATATATATCATAAACACCAGATTCTGTATTACCATTTAAATAGAGGTCCTTGCAATCTTCATATAGGTTTAACTCTGAAAAAAACATAAATACATGATGTGTTAATAACCGTAATATTCTCTAAGAGAGAGAGAGAGACAGAGAGAGAGAGACAGAGAGAGAGAGAGAGAGAGAGAGAGAGAGTTACCTGACTTGATGATTTGCAGTATACTGGTTTCATTTTTCTTAATCCTCGCAATTTCTTGTTTTAAGGAATCAATTTGTTTTGCGTTCTCCTGTTTTAAGAACTCAATCTTTTCGTTCAGTGTTTTAATCGTTAGATCCTTTCGGACGCAATAATTTCTTTCGTCAGAATAAAGTTGCTGAGAACTAGCCGCACAGACGAACAAGAAATACACGAAGGATCCCGCCCAAACTCCTGCCATTGTTTTACTTGTATGTACTACGCTATTTGAAAATATGCTTCCCTATAAAATACGTAGTTTATACCCTTAAAACGGGAAGTTAAAAAGTTATTCTACCGCAACATTTAGACTTTCAGCAGCGAATTTCATTCGACTGTCAAGAAATAATAAAATATTCAGGATGCATGGGTCTGAATTCAAATTCAGAGTAATGCTGATAGTGGATAGCATTATAAAACATTAGTTTGCATATACTATTTTAAAAGAAAACTAAAATTGGATATATTGTTTTTAAATACTATATTTTAATTGAAAAATATAAATAATTTAATTTTACTTGTAACAGGTCATTTGATTGGATAAAAGATATTATCCATTTTGTTTAACATAACTTGCCTACGTCACAATGAGTTAAGTCAAAAAAGATATTACTCCGCTTGACATTACTTTTAAAACTTAATCAATGTGAAGCCTTATTCTGGGGAGGGGGGATTGTCTCATTGTCTGCACTGAAATTAGATTATAAGGAATGAAGCTTATTTCAACTTATTTTATACGATATAACAAAACTTGGGACAGTTTACACTTATTTATAAACCTTAGATGAATAAGTCAATACTTAATAATATTTTTTGCTTATTTATTAATATTCACTTCTTCAATCTATTGAAGATATTATTACTATAAATGTAGAATTTTTTTTTCTTATTTAAGATCAGTTTTAATTCTAAAGAAGATTTTTTTTTTTTCAAAAGTAATTCAAATATAATGTATACCAATCAATTACCTTGTGAATTGATAATTTTTAAAAAGGTTTCAATGCCACTTTTGAATAGAATGACATAAAAACATAAGGTAAATATAAAATGAAATATATAGAGCTTAAGAAAAGTATTCCAGCTCAGAAGTCCATTAAATAAATATTACAAAAAAGCGGGACAGCAAACATGGTCCTCAAAAATAGCAGAGATGGGATCAGGTACCATAGAGAAGTGAGAATTCCCTGATGACCGGTCACTACAATTGTGTGTTCTCTTGACAATCGACAATCTTTTCAGAAGTATCGTGTCTGTCCCCAAAGCCAGTTTCTTTCTTCTTAAAGTGTTTTAGAAACGGTAGTTTAATTGAGATTATCTTTCTAGAGCTGACCATGAAAAATATAAAGATAAGCACTTGTTTTCCTTGTAGCAGAAGAAAATGCATACTATTCACTATACCCCAACCTTTTGTTAGGAACAAATTTTCTTTTATGCTTTTAAATCCATTTTCACAAGATATTTTATCCAAATAATCTGTATTTTGTATTTTTGATAGTTTTCGAAGTTGTAAAGTGTCCTAACTAATTCAAATTGCTACATGACTTCTATAAATACACAAAAATGTCTAATTGCATTATGCATGTTTTATCTAATTGGCAATTGAATTGTTAACTCTATATAAAAATTTAAAAAAATGATATTTTCGGTATAATAAGAATTTGTACTTGCATAAATATTGAAATTATCGTTTGTCGTTTTTAGTTTTGAAGAGGTTGGATGCATGTTTGTTTAAATATTTGCGACATTATGAGGGTTTCAATTATTAAATAGTAAATTGTATGCATTACGTCCTGCTAAATAATTTATATTGTGAGTTTACTTCTGTTTGTTAAGGTATGACTGTACTAAAATTTGTAATCATTTTAAAAATGTAGCAGTAAGGAAATAAATATTAAATTAATATTTTTAACGAATAAGGAAGAAATTCTCAAACAAAAAAAAAATCATAAATATAAAAAAAATATATCTTAAAGGAATGGTTACTTCGAAACAAGTCAAGGTTTTTTTTTTAATATTGACAGCTGTAGTCCATGAGCCAGGCCATGAATTTTTCTGTATCGGTACCACCTCGGGTGAATAATTTTCATAGCTAATATTTGAAGTACATACATCTCTGCCTTCAGAAAATATATGATAGCATTCAATTAATTGTGGCTTTAATGGTGTATCAACTGTGTTTATACACCAACGCAACTTAAATTGTTCGTTCTCTCAGTCGTGTCTTTGAAAGAAGAAGGTTTGTTTTTCAATGCGCAATTTCTATCTTATTTCGGAAGATATTTCCTTGAAAATTCTTTTGAATGCAGACCATGGTATTACCCTGTTTACTTGTTATTCAATATTGGCTCTGTAATGAGCCGTCTAAATTGAATAGGAATATAATTCTACGCTTGATCATAAAAGTGGAATACGCAATTTTGAAATTTTGATCAAAGGAAACAAATTACTACTTTGACAATTTTCACAACAAAAACATATTGCATGGTCATTTGATTTAAAGAAATCTTTTCACGTATTAGCATTTCAAAACATTATTTCAGTAACAAATATATATATAACTTGATTTAATAGTAAATCTTTATCCCTATCTTAAAAATGAAAATTGAAAAAAAATTCCTTGATTTACCCTGTGCATACATTCTTTATTTAACAAAGATATTGTGAATATACCATATCTCAAGTAGAGCCTTTACGTAAAATGTTCTATTTATTTAATCTCATGCTAAACCATGGTGATAGTGGACACTGATATGTTCATTTAAGTTAAACGTGTAATATATTATATATTTTGACATCAAAATTAAGCAACATATGTGCACAATCATATATGTGCTTTGTGGGCGGTGGGCTGTGTTTCTCGACCTGCAATGTCCTGACGCCCCTTCCCTCCACTAGTCCGGGTAGAAGGAACCCGTACATTCTTAAGGGAGATCCCTCTAAGAGAGCACTCTCTACACAAAGCGCTGATCGGTCTCTAACCCTCTACTCCCGAAATGGCGGAGTTGACAGAGACAGCCGCCATCTTGGGTCCGCTTCAGATTTTCAAATATTAATATCTAGAGTTCTGATTAACCAATATCCAAACAAATTATATAGTAAGCATCGATCAAAGGGTCTCTACTATCATTCCAAAAATAAATTTAAAAAAGTTGAAAAACAAAAAAGTTAGAAAATGCGCTTTTTTCAATTTGCTTCTCCTTACGACAGGAAGTACTGACGACGAACAAAAGTTTGCGTCCTGGATGGTATATATCACGATCTATAATCCCTGAAAGTTTCATGTTGATATCTTTTACCGTTTTTGAGTTTAATCGCGGACAAAATGTCATTTTAATTTCAGAAAATTGTCCGTAACTTCGCACCGGAAGTGAGTTTTCAAATTTTCTCTCGGATATATAAAATTCATGTTACAACACATCTTTTCTAAAAATTTCACGTTATTCCATCCAGTAGTCTTTGAGAAATCGCGTGCACAAAATTACAAAATCAAAAAAATAATAAAAAGAATAATAACTAGATGTGAAACTCGTTGCGAGCAACGAGAGGTCTTCCGTCCGATTCAGGAAGAAATCGTAAAATTGAGCTGAAAAAGTAAATATGCTTCTCTCTTAAAATTATGAAAGGGATGTTACTATTCAAAATTTAGCGCCAAACGCCACGAGTTAATCTTCGCGCTTTTTCTTTGGAATGTTCTATTAAATAGGTGTGATAGCTTCAATGAAATTAAAAAAAGAACGTTCTTGTAGCCTAAGATTCGAGATTTAGAAAGTATATTTAACACATTTGTCAAATGCCATATTGTATATATCCATGTAACACTAAAGCGGTGAAACGGAAGTGATTTTTTTTTCTCAATTTCCTGTTTATCCCGAAAGTGAACTATCTTGATTAGTTAAACAAAAAGGTTTCTCGCGTTAAAACATGGCTCGCCCTTCGATGGTCAAGGAATCAGATATCATTTATGCTCAATAACTTGAATCAGGTCTTTGAGACAAGAAAAAACCGTTAATATAAACTCCATTAAGCGAACTTTCAAAAATAGGTTTCTTACTTTTGTCTTTTTATTAGTTTAAATATGACACAAGTTTGCATAGGAAAAACAGTGGTTAAGTTTTATACTTCAAACATTAATTGATATTCTTTTTTGAGAAAGTATTACTTATAACTTTCATTTAGATCTGTTTTTGGTGCACAAAAGATATTACATATCGAATTTCATTTGCACATTTAGTCTTTTCTTTTTCTACTTTGAAAACCAACCAATTACAATTATAGAAGACGTTAGTTTGACACAGAATTGCAACGTAACTACGACGTGACAATCCATGTATTCCTTTACATTTCATTTATCCTTATGTTACCTTTGTTCAAGCAAACGCTAAGCTGCCTCCGTAAATCCCTATTGCGAAATGTTGACGTTGACAGAGAGAGCCGCCATTTTGGACCCGCTTCAAATTTTTAAATGCGAATATCTCGAGATTTTAGATTTTTCAACATTCAAAACAAATTACATTTCAGCATTCCTAAAGAGTCTCTATTATCTATATAAAATAAATGAAAAATACTAAAAAACAAAAAAGTTGAAAATTTTGATTTTTTTAAATTTGCATCCGTTACGACCGGAAGTACTGACAACTCACGAAAAGGCGATTCTGCAAACCACAAAGTCATGCCTATCATCTCCAACAAGTGTCCAGTTCATATGTTTAGCCATTTTCGATAAAAACTGACAAAATTTCATTTTAAAATCAGGAAAATGGCTATAACTTGGCACCGGAAGGGAGATGTTCAAAAATTCTTCCAAATGTAACAATGGCATATCATGACACATTTTTTGTGAAAGTTTGATGAAAAACCGATGAATAGTTCTCGAGATATCGCGTGCACAAAATTTGTCTAAAAAATAATAATAATAATAACTAGATGAGATCTCGTTGCGAGCAACGAGTAGGTCTTCCGTTGAATTTCTCGATAAGATGAGATGTGATTTTGACTGAGATATTCGTTAAAAGAGAATGACATTAAGTTTTCCTTCAATGAATTTAAAGTTTCTCATTTTTATCACGATTTTCTGAACATCTTTTGTTCAATATGGCTTATAAAAATACCCCCCTCCTTTCAAGACGTAAAGCATGACAAAAAATAGCATTTTGGCCCCATTGCGACCCCTTATTACGTAAGATATGGCCAAAATTTTATATTATATTG